CTGCAGATACACCTTACTAACTAGCTCCAATAAATACAAACCTAAATCCAAGGGTTCCTATAGATCATCACTAACCACCTAACACAAATTCAAGCAATAATTAACCAGTAACCAGGAATTGTTTGTCAATGTTACTGCAACAAGTCCAGGTTTTGTTTATAATCAAGGTGATCATTCGCCATACAACCATCAGTCTGTTCAACTACAGATATCACTTGTAGATAACTAGTCTCTTGTTATCTAATCCTTTTGTGAGAACCGGTTTCTACCAGTGTATTTCGTAAAATGCCCATCTACCCAAAAGTTATTATAGTAGGACACATCGGTTTGATCTTCTTTGGAGGCAGATATTAACAAAACAGAACTCCTCTATGGAACTGGTGTCCTCATCAAATCATGTTGTTTGATTTAGTCAGAGACATTACTACTGAGCTGTCCACACCGTGACTACTCACTCGCTGGGATGCTTTCAAAGAGAACGGCAACAGCAAATCCTGTAGAACAGTGATCACATTTGAAAATTCGCCACTAATCAGATAGATTCTTTGGGTGGATTTCAGCACAACAGTGGTCACAGATGCGCATTAAGTGAAGGACCTCCAAATATCCTATATTCGTGACGCTATGGAGGACTGCAACAGTAAATCTCGTCTTGAGAAGAATAATCATGCTACAATTTTCAGGAGTACAAAACACCTATGGCCAGTTCCAAGCTGAGATTTATGTATCTTTACATATTTTAGCAAATTTTATGAATACAACTTTACTAATTTTCTTCTATATTGAAGTCAAAAGACATGTCATGAAAAGACATGAATACCAAGAGAAAGGCGTAAACAGAGAAGAAAATTTTCTTTTCGACGATTCATTTTCATCAGCTGTACATTCGTAATCATAATTAACATAGAAATCTTTAGACCAATCAGATACTGGTAAGCTTTGTTCCTCAAAAATTGTATTACATAATGTAAGGTGTAACCTAGACGGGATGACTAATTGTAAGTTAGAAAGGAGACAAAAGTTGGCATGACGTAACAAGTGTGAGATAGTGAGCAACTAATCAATAAGCTCATGTAGAATAGACATAGTTATCGCCTTTAGGTTACACCTTACATTATGTAATGCATTTTTGGGGACAAATTTTACCAGCATGTGATTGGTCTTATGATTTCTTTGTTAAATACAATTACGATTGCACAGATCATGAAAATGAATCGTCGAAAAGAAAATTTTCTTCGCTGTTTGCGCCTTTTCCTTATGACTGAATATGGGAATATTTCGTTCACTGTTAGAATAATGATAATAATGAATATTTGTATCCCATCTTACCGGCTAGTAATTATAATTTCTGGTTATAAACAAAAATTGATTTTCAGTGAATCGTTTAGATACTACTGAAATAGTAATATTTAGTAAAATACATTTCATAGGATGTATGAAAAACGATATCTACCCCTTTCCAGAAGTAAATTACACGAAAGATACTCTGAAGATAAGGTACTCATGAACCCATTTCATGATAAATGAGGTTTTGTTGCAGTGGTGCTTTCTGAACTAGGCTGTTTAACTGATATGCTTTCACAGTGTCTTCCTAGACGAATTGTTTGGTGTAAGATTCAAGGTGAATCATTTCATTAGTATGTGTGTAAAACTTGGGCATTGTAGAAATAATTTTAATTCCGTATGTCACACACAGTGAAACGGCGTTATATAACGGATGACGTTTCGAGCACAACTTATTTACAATCATATCATATAACAGTAACTACACAACATCGAAACTTGATATTAATGGTTCTCTTTATTCTTCCCTAAACGTCGTCGTAGGGGTAGTAGAATTTTCCAGATGCCTGAGACAGGCGTTGAATCATTCCTATTACATGTATTTGCAGTTGATTCGATAAATTAAGCTTCTGTTATCAATCTCTCCCTATACTCTGTGACCTTAGATTTTGAAACTGTCATCCTATCCCATCCAGCCTATTGTATGGTTGTGTGTAATTGCATGCAGTGAGTGGTATAGTTGAACTATTCTGTGGATTTCTTATCTTATTAGGGTCAACTAATCCAGATTTTGCAGCTAGGTTTTTATGATCGGCTAGTCTAACTGACTGCACCTGTTCTACTACTTTGACCTATGTATTTGACGTGACATTCATTGCAAGGTATTAGATAAACTAAATTATTTCGTTAAATGGCCTCCACAGGATCCTTTAACTGATAGAAATTTTTCTAAGTGAGTTTTGTGGGGGAGTTTGAATGCCAATTTACCTCTGCTTTCCTATGAATTCCACATAATGTTTCTGAGGTTCCTTCCCTGTATGGAAGTACTGTCAGTGTTTCAAACTCATTGTTAGTGTTATCTGAGTACTTTGTACACAGAAACCATTCAAAACCTGTCCCAGACATCTGGAAAGTTCTACTACCCCGCTACGACGAATGGAGGAGAATTAAGAAAAATATAAAACTCAAGTTTCGATGTTGTGTATGTATCATTGATGACATGATTATGAACTTTTTTTGATGACATATCATCACCACCCTCTTACTAATCTTCACCCCCCCACCCCCACCCCTTGTTACAATTTGATGACTCCTCACGTTTCTGAAATGTCTTGACAACAATAACCCTAACTAATTTTTATTCTTATCGAGAAATTTAAAACAATTAGTCCCTTTTATAAATTTTGATAGCGTTATTAGAAGACGGAGACTATCTGAAAAATGTGATGTATTAGCGCTATACATTTCGAACAATCTGATCACACATTTACTTGTCAAGTCAATATATATAGAAAGGTTAAATTAAACAAAGTGAGAGAAAACGGAATTAAGAATAATTAACACAAACGTTTGGTAATTCAATCAAATAAGGATTACCAAGGTAGGTTAAGAGTAATAAAAAAATGTTTTTGAATACACAGGGGGGGGCTTAAGTCTATGAATAGCTATAGCCTCAGCGTATTTCAGTAAACGCCCTTCACCGTTTTTATAGATGACCTTAAAGGCTGAGTTAACATCAATCTTATGGTTCATCTCGATTAGATGCTTAGCTATAGACGAAGTTGGTAGTCTGACAGCTGCATCTATTAGCTTGTCACAATTCATCTGTTTTTCTAACCATTTTGGGATATGCTCTCCCACCCTCACGTGCAAAGCGCGATTACTCCTCCCTATGTATGTATGTCCACACACACACACGAAAATTGGTAAATTGTATGGGATGTGATATAATCACTTGTGCACTTTTGGGGTTTACAGTGAAGCATATTTTTGGCTTTTTCCACAATTACAAGCTGGGCTGCATAGTAGGTTCTACGGATGATTGAATTCAACCTTTGTCTCACAATCCTACTGTTTATTTCCCCGTTATATCGTAATTTGATAAAAACCTTTTTCTTAGGGACGGTATGGATTGTAGGTTTAGAGGCTAGTTGACTTCTACATCTGTTTAAAAATTTCAAAGGATATCCGTTTTCAACAAGAGTATCCATTAATATTTCGTTTTCTCTGTCCATAACATCAGCCGTGCAAATACGCTGAATCCTCTTGAATAGACACTTCACCAAGCCCCTCTTATACTGTATCGAGAAAACCTAATGTACACACACACGCACACAAAAATAAGCATATATAATTGCGATTGTACAGCTAAGCGTCAATGAATTCGCCGACGAAAAGAGACTCTTCGCTGAATAACACGTGTTTTGTTTTTCATTATTGTGTGGATGGGGATTATTCAGGAATAATGTATAATGTTAGAAACTTCTTAATCCAATAAATGATACTGTCTCAAGGTGTGATATATTCAACAAACAAATGAATTTGGAACTATTGCATCACTAGTCATCTCTGGAGATGTTATCTAGAAGAACTATGGGAGGTTTGCAGTTAAACGATGCATCTCAGAGAATACAACCACCTCAAAACCCTCCATCTGATCTGCAAATCTTCACCATATTTTTGAATGGTCAGGTAAAAATGATGTATAGTTTGTACAACGTGGGCTTCAGCTGCACGTCCCCATTGAGTTTGGTTCTCCGACAACGTTTGCATCACGTCTGCCTACATGGCTTCATCTTCTCTTCACATGACCTCCTCCTCCATGTCACCCTCTCACTGATGACCAACTAAATCGCTACTTCCCATTCGGTCGGGTTCCACTCGAGCGACGGCCTGGCGTGTGATATCACCTGATGGTTTTTGCAGAATATGGCCAATCCACCTCAATTTCTTCTTGCACATTTGTCGCACAGTTGGTCCCTGCTGGGTTGTTTAACCAGAGATCCCTGTTGCTGATCTTTTCTGGCCGGCCATCTGATCTTGAGCAGTACTGAGCGAAGACAGTTGTTGATGAAGTTGTGTAGGTTGTTTTAAGTGCCCTTGGTGATGCGGCCCCAAGCCTTTGATCCGTATAAGTAAGTAGCAATGACTGACTTCACATTGGAGTTGACAATCCGGATCTTATTTTCATTTTCATGCTGAGTAGTGCTGTTGATCTTCACAAAAACTTGAGAATAATTAAAGCTTGTCTTACTTTACCGATCCTCTCTTTGTGCGTCGGTGGCACAGTGGTTAGGACTCTCGCCGACCATGCACATGGTCCAGGGTTCGAGCCGTCGCCGACGCACACCTGATATCTATGGTCGGCCTGAAAAATTTGGGCTACCGATATCCATGCTGAAAATTCCATACTTGTACCAAAAATACAGTGTGGAATCAAGCTGTAAATAAAAAATAAAAAAAAATAAATCTTCATCAGTTTCGTCCGCCTGTATTAGAAACGATTCCTCCCAGGTAGGTAGGTGGGTAAAGGAGGTTGCTTCTTTCAGATTTATCCCATTTATGCTGATTGTTGTCTGTCGCTGTTGCTGATGATGTTGGCCAGAAGCATGTAAGCATAAATAGCGCGAATGGGAGAGCTATGAAATCCTTTAGCTGACTTATTTAAACTGAAAACAATTATATATATAAATCAATAACCGATAATCAATAACTACCTTTCAGCATCAAGATCACATAATTTGGCTAAGATCAAGAGCAAGTCACACTGCATCTCTAATCCAACAATATCTTCTTCTTCTTCGTCGTTGTCGTCGTCCACTAACACTTTTGAGTTTGCCAGCGCAATATTTTGTTCATTTTGTAAACGACGCCTTTCTCTTAATGTTTCACCGCCAAACCTTAATAATTCATCATGAGGTCGTTCCGATTTCAGTCTTAATGAAATTGGACAGATTAGTGGTATCAGAAATTGAACTAAGCCATGACAGACAAAATCCTGTGTGAGATAAGAAAAACGAAGATAAAAACGGTGAACAATGAGAACGAATCCATTATAATAATACAAGTGAACACCTCTTTTTATTATTATTATAGCTTGATTCCACACCGCATTTTCTGGTACAAATATGAAATTTTCAGCATGTGATATCGGTAGCCCAAATTTTGCAGGCCAACCATAGATATCAGGTGTGCGTCGGCAAGGGATCGAACCCCGAACCAAGTGAATGGTCGGCGAGAGTCCTAACCGCTGTGCCACCGAATGCAACCACCTAATAGTCCCTGCACCCTGCTTTATTCGCTGTAATAGAAGGCGATTAAAACTAGTTTAAACATGTCAACACCAGAGAAAACAGGCTTAATCTTTAAATCTTCCCATTTATAATATTAGAACAAGACATATAAGCGAACACTATTGCTGTTTTCAATTAGATCTTCTTCAGGCTTTACTCTAATTTACATAGATTTATACATAAAAAACGAATTTAACCAATGACGGTGATTTTTGTGAATCAAATAATAATAACAATGATAATGTGGTAAATCAAATGAACTGTAGTCAAGATGTGGCAGAATAGTTTTAAGATATTTGTGCGCCAAATGAGAAGTAGACATTTGTAAAAAATTATATTTGTAAAATCTCAGCGAGATTGAAATGAGTAATTCTCACTCGGTGCCCAAATATCTTAGAACTATTCTGTCAAATCTTGACTACAGTTCATTTGATTTATTTTGCAATCGAATTAAATTAACAAAGAAACTATGTAATTGGCTCAATCATCGTGTTTCCACTCTCCGTTGTCTGCAACAGAATGCACATCCGAAATCCATAGCTGTCCAGTCACCTGACAACTTCAGTAGGTCGAATAAAGCAGCTCAATTTTCAGAAAGAAGACAAAGTAATAAGTTTGACAGGGTGCTTCAACTAAACTCTAATCCTAAACACACCATAATTTTGAAAGTACGTCTAATCATAAAATTATAGATACTAACAGTTTGAACAGACATGAAGGTGTGATGTTAGCTGACGCATAGGAAATCCTGATTAATAAATAAGAATGGATATGTATCACTAATTAATAAAACTTGGTCAAAATTACCGACTGTCTATATCTACTTACGGAGACGTTAAGAGATTGTTTTACAACTGTTTAACCGCACACAGACACACACATACACACTGTGTTTAAAGTGTTTAACAAAGGTAGACCAATATTTGTAAGTCCGCGGTCAAATTTTGATCATAGCTCATACAATTTTTGTTTATTATACTTGTTGTTACTTGTTTTATGAATCATGATTAGACAAAGTTTTTAAAAACGAGAAACGTTCCTTCAATATATAAACCTCGGTTATGTTAATTTTGATTAATTTCCCCCGAAGAAGTTCGGACCAGATTGCCGAACGAAACGCTGGAATTACTCATTTCAATCTCGCTGAGATTTTACAAATATAATTTTTTACAAATGTGGCAAATGTTGTGAATGAAGTTAGTAACGATGATTATAATGATAACAAAATATTGATAATAAGGTTTATGCAAGTGATAAGAATAACAAAGATAGTATATGTAGACAATTCAATAAATAAACAAACTAGATCAAATCTTAAAAGGTGAAATGGAACGATAATCAGAGTTTAAATAAATATCATGAAAGTACGAAGGAGATGGAAAATAAGAAAGGGTGGGAGGGTTTTGAATAGAATTCACCTAGGCCAAGGGAGAGGCAAAGGTAGAACAAACTTCTTTTGTATACAAAGACTAGGATTGTTCTCTCGAATTCCGATAGCTTCTGCTAAGTGTGAAAGACGGGTTCTGATTCTGTTCGAAAGACTCTATGGAATGCGATAGACAACTTTGAGGGCACAATTTTTGTCCACTTGGTGACCGCTATCATCAGTCAAATGAGCCAAAATAGAACTTCGTATGGATTTTATTTGACCTTTTCCGACCCATCAAGGAAGATGCTCATTAGTGGTGCGTTTGTTAAGCTGTCTAGTTGTTCGCACTATATAGCGAGCTTTCTCCACAGGAGCAACTAAATTTATAGATACACAGACTTAGACAAGATTAAACGACCGTGGGCTATAGCCGCATATTTATTACAATGCTATTGGAAAATCTAAGAGCATGACCTTATGCAATGAATGTAATTGGTCATTTGTTGGCTTAACTTTCTGAGATATGCAGAGTTTGTTTATTATTGTAGTTCTTTAAAATCGAATTGTTCTTCTCTATGTATATCCGTGGACTATGAGGGTCAAGAGTAGTCGGTGATAGGTATTGTTTTTGATTATAGCTTGAAACCACACAGTATTTTTGGTACAAGTATGGAGTTTTCAGCATGTGATATCGGTAGCCCAAATTTTGCAGGCCGACCATAGATATCAGGTGTGCGTCGGCAGGGGATCGAACCCCGGACCGTGTGTAAGGTTAGCAAGTGTCCTAACCCCTGTGCTACTGACGCACAGTATCACCGACATAAAATGCAAATGCAAACTACTTCATACTATTGGCTGACTAATGTTGGCCAGCAGCGGAATCTAGCATATATCTAAATCTCAGTGTGCTTCAGATCCAGCCTCCGTTGGCTAGAACTCTCAACAGTTATCCACTGGATTACAAGAGTCTACTACTGTGTAACGAGTAACAGCTGGTTTTCGTTTAAGTTATTTATTTTTTTTATTTTTTTATTTTGATTACAGCTTGATTCCACACTGTATTTTTGGTACAAGTATGGAATTTTCAGCGTGGATATCGGTAGCCCAAAATTCGCAGGCCGACCATAGATATCAGGTGTGCGTCGGCGTGGGCTCGAACCCTGGACCATGTGAATGGTTGGCGAGAGTCCTAACCACTGTACCACCGACGCAGGCCCCAGTTGTTTGATATTTATTAATTTCCAAATTTTTTATTTACGTATTTAGAAAGAACAATAGATTGAGTGAAGAAATATGCACTGCTTATAAATAAAGGTTTTCTTGTATTTCACAATGAATGAAAAACAATGAACGATATTTTTGTTTTTACTGACGTTTCGCTATTTAATGCTGATGCTAATAGCTTTATCAAAGTAGTATTATTAAACCAGAATTTACAAAATCCACTTAGACTATATATAACAAATTTAATCATCGTTCCTCGGCATTGGGTCATTTTTCCGTTGTCCAACTGGCCATTTGGTAAAGATAACAAAACGGGGTGTAGATGACTGTTGGATTTGATTAGTGTGTAAAATTATAAAAGCAGCATGTGCTTGCATAGTGAAATTGCTTATCACATATTCGTGTTGATTCTGTCATTTCATGAGGGAGGGAGGTGTTGTAACCAGGTCGAATTCTATTTTAGTCCATCATTCCTGTTCATCAGACAATTTGGGTTCCAACTGAGATGAAATGCTCCTGATGATGGCTAGACGTTCTTTGTGATTTCTAAAATTTTTCTGGATTAATTCAATATTGGATGTAGGATTTCATCATGAGCTGAAACCAGTAGAGAGAATCATTGGAAAGCCTGAGAGTACTGGACAGCCAAACGTTTCGTCCTAGTTCGGGAATCTTCATCAGTACGCATCCACTCACCTGGATTCGAACTCAGAACCTTCTGGTTACAAGGCTAGCGAGCTCCTAGACCATTAAACCACTGGGACCCGATCAAATGACCAGCCTATGAATTCTAACATCTACCAATTCGTGATATAGCGTGACCATTTCGCAGTGTCTTCTTCGATGAGTTACTGCTATACCCTACTGGTCACGGCTTCCCACTAGAACCCCAGGTTAACTGCCTGAATATGGCCAGTCGCTAGTGAGGATCGGATTAATCTTCAAGTATTGGTTTTGGTAGGGATTTTGTTTGATTGGATGCCAGCTCATGATGAAATCCTCCCTCCAGTGAAGCAAAAATCCCTACAAAACCAATACATGAAAATATTTCATTATTGTCAAAATCAATTTTGTGGCCTGATTCTATAGCATGTAGACGAGCCATGGCTGGCTGATGATTTTTCAAAATATGCACTACTTTTTAATTAGTTCTTCATCATCGGTTCTTCACTAACATGTGTGCGTCGGTGGCACAGTGGTTAGGACTCTCGCTGACCATGCACATGGTCCGGGGTTCGAGCCCACGCCGACGCACACCTGATATCTATGGTCGGCCTGCAAAATTTGGGCTACCGATATCCATGCTGAAAATTCCATACTTGTACCAAAAATACAGTGTGGAATCAAGCTGTGAATCAAAAATAAAAAAAATAAAAAAATAAAACATACAGTTTTTTACATTAAAAGTTTTCTACAAATCAAGTGGTGATTTTAGTGAATATGTTCTGGGTATAGACGGCGTGGGTGAAATTAAGAGGTTAAAGGTCATCAAAACAATTGAATCACAGAAATTAGTAACAAGATATCTAAGTTTTGAAGGAGGAATGAGGTGAAAATTAATGCCGGAATTCAAAATAAGTTGATTCTTAGGCGTTAGCAACAAGTTATTACATAATCAAGAAACTTGTAAAACAATGGTGACTTAGAAGAATCACGTTAAGTACAAACAAATTGATAGAATTAGCTAGAATTGTAAAAATTAACAAAGTCAAAAGTTAGTTATAGTAGGAGAGGAAAAAGTAGTTTTTAAGAACTTAATACATATTTTATGTAGTTGACCATGGCAGAGAAACGGACTGTACAACTTTCTTTTGAACACTCACAGATTTGGCTTGTTCACATAAATTCCGATTGCATCTGCTGTATTTAAAACTCCTACTCGTAGGTCATGCGGCGAGAGGCTGGGTAATATACGATAAATAGCTTTGAAAGCTTTGTTAGAGTCGACTTGATGTACAGTATCGACGAGACGAGCTAGCATTGAGCTGGGTATGGCTTCAATTGGACCTTTCCAAACCAAGATTCATGATATTCAGAAATACCATGACGACATCGATAGATGAAATGCACCAAGTAAAAAGCTCCAAAGAAATTGATTAGCAAAATGTTTTG